CCCTCCTATGGTCTCATGGAGCACCCCCAAACTCTTTCTAACAATGCAGTCCCATTTCTTCAACAAAGGACGTTTGCTAAATTAGGTCGTTTTACACCTGCAAGTATAAATCAGGTCACGGCCAATTTATTTATAAACTAACAAGGAAGCTTGCCATTTTGGTCTCACCTCTCCTATTATGCCATTTTACTAGGCTATAATCTAGCACGACAATCTTGTCTTTTTACATTTTATCACCATAACCTTTCATTTCCCTTCGCTCATTTCCCACCTCATTTATAAAGGCTTCTTTCCAACAGATATTTACACCTTTTTTTGCTTAGCCTATGAATTTCAGAATTAATTTGGTATTTTTGCACTGCAGAGCTTTTTCAGTCTTTTAATGCTGATTGGGGGAAGTTTAAGGCTATTGCATTTGTTAGATACTTCATTAGTAGATGTCGTTCAGTGGCTAGCTTCAGGGAATTTGTATTCCCCTTATTCATTAATTATGCCCCTTGTAGGTGAGACTGCCATTACCTTCATGCTCTTGAAGCCCCATTTTATAAATTTATATTATTCAGCAGATTCCAGCTCCCCGAAGATGACTAAGAAGCATTTCGTAATTTGTTGCATTTCAAATACAGCTATACCGAAAGCTGATGCATGAATGTTAATGTCTAGATTTTGAATATTTATGTAGAATTTCTATCTGTGTCCAGCCAAACAGTGCAACAATAGCCTTAGTTTATCATACTTTTAGGTCCTCGCAGCACTTTTTGTATTACAAGAACTAATGTCAACCCATTCCCGCTGCTCCATGGAAACCTACCGTGCATTATGGGCCAAATCCTCAGGTCCATTAACCTCAATGGAAGTTTGCTTAACCAAGGACTTACTAAAAATTGGGGGCTCAGTTGTACTTAACAAGTACTCTCCTGCACTGGGAGTGATTTGGCACCACACGGAGAAGAATACAATCCCTCTGAGTGCAGAGGGACTGCTCCTGCTGCCACACTCCTCCACTTGTCCTCATCCAACCCACCAGCCCTGCATCTAGCAGCATTGATGGCTGGCAGAGACGGAGTATTGAGCCATAGCCTACCTCTTCCCCACCCCCGTGGGAGCATAGGGATGCAATTGTGCCCAGCTGCTGTGCAGGACCATGAGAGGTGAAGAAGGCTACTTGTTCCCTCCACCTGCTGCACATGCATGGAGCAATTGGACCCAACCTGACCCAAACCCAGGTCATCATTATTTGGCCCTGTCAGATCATGCAGATCAGCCCTGGGTATCCTAAATTTACCTAACTCCAATTGTGATGAAGGAACTGGAAATGTTAAAGTATTTCAAATGGTTGCTGTATTTTCTTTGGAGCTACAGCTAATCCCTTGTAAGCTGTTGTGATTCCATATTTATTGGCATCAAGACCTTCTGAGATAAGTACTTAATAATACACTCAGGAACATGATTCACTCATATGGTTTAGGGATAAAATACTTAATTCAGCTCATTTTCTTCCAAGTCATTCCCTAAACATAAAAGATTACAGTTTTAATAGAGTTTAATGATGCTTCTCTCTTTTGCCTTTTTGCTCTTTTTGTGGTTTTTTAAAAAATTAAATGTGTAATAGGCATTCAGCTTTTAATTTGGCAATTTGAGATGTCTATTTAAGTGAGAACAATATTTGATATTGTCATGGGAAAATTTACTATAACAGAGAGAGTTCAAACAATGAGGAGTCCTTGTGGCACCTTAGAGACTAACAAATGTATTTGGGCATAAGCTTTCGTGGGCTACAGCCCACTTCATCAGATGCATGAAGTGAAAAATACAGGAGCAGATATAAATACATGAAAGGATGGGGGTTGCTTTACCAAGTGTGAGGTCAGTCTAACGAGATAAATCAATTAACAGCAGGATACCAAGGATACCAACATAGGAAAAATAACTTTTGAAGTGGTAAGAGAGTGGACGATTACGGACAGTTGACAAGAAGGTGTGGGTAACAGTAGGGAGAAATTAGTAATGGGGAAATTAAGTTTAGGTGAACACTTCAATCTCTCTGGTCACTCAATAACAGACCTAAAAGTGGCAATTCTTCAACAAAAAAACTTCATAAACAGACTCCAACATGAAGCTGCAGAACTGGAATTAATTTGCAAACTGGATACCATCAGATTAGGCCTGAATAAAGACTGGAAATACCTATTGTGGAGGGACACCACTGAAATCAAAGTTAGATTTCTTTCTAAAAGGTGTTCTCTAGATCCATCACAAGTTTTGGGGCTTGATGCAGTAATTGCAAGGTGAAATTTTATGACCTGTATTATGCAGGAGGCCAGACTAGATGATCACAATGCTCCCTTCTAGTCTTAAAATCTATTCAATCACAGCAATACAGGGTTTAATTTGATAAACCAGCCATGTTTAATCATTGATGTAACACAAAATTTTTCTCCCATTTTGCTGTCTCTTTGTATCTTATTTCTTATCCTCTTAATGGGTAGCTGACTTCTAATTTGCATCTATTATAAAGGGTTTCCCCACTTCCAGTAGTGTTTAATCAAAGGGAAGGCATTCAGGAGATGGTTGGCATAAATTTTCACTGCCCCCTTTGGTTATGACTGTTGGAATGAATGTTTCATTACCATGCAAATGATTCATTGTCATATAGGATAGCATATGGGACACAATATTACATTCCCCCAGATTCAAACAGCAAGTACATTTCATAGCAAGGCAGCAATTCATAAGAGCTTAGCCCTCAGGTGGGAACAACTTTTACTCACTACAGCCAAGCCATTGTTAGGCACCATTGATCTGGGCGTGATGACTATTTCCACACCCCATTGTCAGTCCCCCAAGCCAGGCAGTCCCCAACGTCTGAGAGGTTTTTAAAAAAAATACTTCCATTTTGCTCCTGCTCCCAAATGATTGACAAGAAATACCATGGCACCTTTCAGGCAGGATGCCCGACTCAGTAGTGTGGCACTTGTAGTGGGTGCTGATGTATTTCTGTGAGTATGTCTGCAATCATGAGTTATTCACTAGATAATGTCAAGGACTGACCACAGAGCCAATTAAAAGTTCTGCCCCAAACTGTGCATTTTTGGAGGTTCCCAAGATAGTAACAGAAACTCAGCCTCCTGACTATTCAGTGCAGTCTTCAAGCAGAGGTAGCTGAATCCAAGTCAGCAAAACACTGATGCATGCATGTTAATGACTTCATTGGGACTTAAGACCTTGTTTAAAGTTAAGCATGTGCGTAAATGCTTTGCTGAATAGGGTGGATTTAAGAGCATGTTTAAGACTAAGCACATGCCTAAATGCTTTGCTGAAAAGGGGCCAAGATGTCATCACAGTTTGTCATTTTCCATATACTGTATGGAGAGAAAGGGGTCTATAGCATCTGCAAAAATGAGCTCTGTGAAGCAAGAAGGAAATGAGTGGCCATGTAGTCTCCTGGTCTCCTGAATCAGGATCTCTCTCCCCTCCATCCAGATGATCAAACTGGAATGAAGAACAAGGCATCTCGTTGTAACACTTGGAAGCAAATTTACCATGACATTAAATATACCAGCTCATCCCCCAACCTATGTCTAATGTAAAATAAAATCTTTGAACAGATTTTAGTAGACAGCAGTCAGATTACAGATGGAAACCCTCATGCAACCTGCAACTTGCTGTAGGTGAAATTTCCCCTTTTGTAATGTTGCCAGAAGACACTTCCCACCTGGACAGTTCTATGAACCCAAATACAAACACCCTTAATTACACAATCCTCCCTTCACTAGACTCTGTCATCGGGAGGAGGATGATTCTGTCTCTTGTTATCTGGAAGAACTATGTTGTCATAGATCTTACCTATATGAAAATTATTTCTAAAATACTGGAAGGAACCCAAGCTACCCTCAATCATGGGGCAGAAAACAGAACAGGACTACACTTACTGTGTATCTGTTTCCCCACTTGTGGGATGCTCCAAGACAATTTTACTCCTCCAGTTAGTCTCAATCTCCAAAAACATTAGATTTTTCACCTGACACTCCTTGCCAGTCTCTTTCTGCACTTCACTGGTACACTGTCTTACTCCCCTCTTCTCTGCTTCCTGTCTCCCATTTCTCTTGTCACAAACCTCTTTCATTTATACTTTCTCTCCATCACAGAGGTTGTGCTGTTTCTACTATGAAACAGATATTCCTACTAGTCTTAAATATAGTCATTACTGATTTATTGTGGGGGGTTTTCAATTGGTCTCACATGATGGAATCTCCATTTTTCTTTCTATTAGGGATGGGCTGTGTGATGGGGAAGTGCATTTTTATGTTGTGCTAAATTTATTTCAGTGTGCTATGTTTCATGGAGGTGTCCCGCTGGATCTGGATCGGGGGCGGGGAGGAGAGAAAGAGAGAGCAATAACTAGCAGTTAATTACGGGTGGCAGCAATGACCAGCAAAAGGCAGGCAACCACCAGCTGTAGAAATAAGAGAGGAATTGCTAGAGTTGGGAGCATCTGAGAAGTTGTAGACTCCGTCCAGCAAAGATTTACTCATATGCCTAACAGTATACATGGTGAATAGTGCCAGTAGAGTCAATGGAGCTATTCGTAGTGCATAAGGTTAACCATGTGCTGAAATCTTTCCAGGATCAGGACCTTGATCAGCAACCTATTACAGTAGGCATATCAAATAACAGGACATAATCAGAAAAGAAAACCAAACGGCATGTCAGAATATAGAGTATGACAGTTCATCTCAGATAAAAGTGTCGGGAATCTAGTAATGTCTGTGTTTTAGGATGCTCTGATAAACACAAACAGGAATCTAAATGTGAGAGTAAAGGGTGATGTTTCTTGCAAACATAAATAACGGTGACCAAATGACATGTATGATCTAGCAGCCTTTTCTGTGTTCTTCTGCTTTGTCACCTTTTTTCATGGACCAATATGAAGGAATAAATGTTTAGTGGAACAATGTACATTTCTTGGTGAAAAAAACCCTTTTTTATTTTATTTTCAGTGATAAAATGTTCCCAGCCTTTGGTTTTGGAGCCAGGATACCACCGGAATATAAAGTAGGTGTACAGGTGAATCTTTCTAACTTCCATAGTTTATATGGCACAACGTATTGCTGTTGGTGAGATGGTTTATCTTTGGGGGAAATAGTTCCCTCAGCTTGTTTCATTCTGATGGCTTTCTGCTCAAGATATTACCTCGTTACATACACAATTCTAAGAATCAATCCAAAAATTAATGATGTTACATCAAAAATAATGTAATGGCATTTACACACACACCTTTTTTTATGAGGTTGACATGAGGATGTCTGTGCCTTATCTTTCCAGGTTCAGATTAGGTTTTGAGGACTATTTGAGAGAAATATTTTGGAACCATTAAAAACTTGTTAAGGTCTGATATCACAGAACCAACAACTGGAAGATTCACTTTAACGTTGGGGCTGGTGCTGATGCTTTCAAAGGATGTGATTAAGCCTGACGCTGTTGCCGAAAGTAATGGTCTTAGTAATGCTCAAAGTTGTGGAAATTTTGTGTGTCCAAAGGACTGTCATCCGTGCAAGGAATGGAATGCAAGAAAATATCCATGCTAGAAAGAAGTGGTACCCATGTGAAAAGAGTGAGGACTAGATTGATATTGAGGCTAGAAGAGGTAAACATAAGAAAATAATATCTGCAGGGGGGATAATAGAGTCAGAAAGGTACCTGGAGAAGAGTGAGGTCTGAGAACAGAGAGACAGCAGTCCAAATTCTGTGTTGCTTGTATAAAGTGGTGTGGAGAGTAACCAAACGATGTTCCTGATCTGATAAGAAACACAAAGCTACCTAATGATTCTGCACTGGTTTAAATCAGGTGCAATCTGGAAGAACACACCTTGTGAAGACAAAGCCTCAAAGCCTACACAGCAGATTTCTTCTCAGCATAGTATTATTGCATTCTACCCCATGCAGATGGAGGAAGGACAAATTGTGACAATGCCATTAGGACTCAGTTGTAAGGAGCACAAACCAAAGGTCTGATTCACTATCCACTGAAGTCAGTGAGAGTACTTCCATTGGCTTCCATGAGCACTGGATCAAGCCCAAAGTGTGCAGTGCATTGGCAAACAGCAAAATGCATCACAGAAGGCATGCTTATCTGAGAGGCTACTTAGAGGACTATGTTACTCTGCTGGCTACAATTCCTTGACAAGACATCTGATGGTGATAGTACATTATAATTGACAGCATGAAGTTCTGCTCCTTTTCCAGCAGAAATAATCAGCCTACAGGTTTTGATGGTGGTGCCAGTCTGACCAGCATATTGGCAACATCATACTTCTGTTACCCCTCAGTAACAGATTACCTGACTCTCAAAAGAGTCAGAGGTGCTGTAGGAAAGACAGACACGCCATCATGGAGTGATTTCCTAGCTAGGCAAAACTGTTGTTTGCACACTCCTCCTGAAAACCATACAAGCAAGCACTCATAGTAAAGTTGGGGACTTGCACTGAACATCGCAACTCAGGGCACATAGGAAATCTCAAATGCAGTAGCAAGAGCTGCCCTTGTGGTGGTAAGGAATTGGCCTCATGGGACTTAAGCAATGTGTGATGGGGTGTCCGCCCTATACAGGGTTGAAAGGAGTAAAGGTGGCCAGACAGGCCTATGAACTCCATGGGGTGCACCTGGAGGAGGAGCCACTAATTAGAAGGAGGCTCAGCTGGGCAGGAACAAGCTGGGGTCAGTATAAAGCCTGGGTCGAGTGAGCAGCAAGGTGGCTACAGGAAGGCAGGGAAGAACACTGCAGTTAGTCCCTGAGTGGAGAGAGTTGGTAGGCTGGCAACTCTAGGTGGGTGGGGTCCAGAGGAAAGGCGATGAGTGGAAAGAAGCCCAGGGCAACAGCAACAAAGGATCAGACCATGCAGAGACCTTGGCTGCTTGTTGTAGGGTCCCTGGGCTGGAACCCAGTGTAGAGAGCGGGTCTGGGTTCCCTTACCAGCCACTGGGGAATGGCAAGGGTGCTGGAGACACCAGACAGACAGCAGGTCAGGGAGAACTGTGAATTCCCCAGAAGGGGAGGACCTTAGTGACCTGACCAGAGGAGACTGCAGATCTGGGATTTATCTGCGGGGGCTGCAGACCAAGACAGGACAGGGGAAGACACCGCCGGAGGGAGAGTGCAAGCCTGGCAGAGCTAATTCCCAGGACGGCCAGAAGGAGGCACCTCTAGCAGTGAGAAGACCCTGTGACACAATGACAGACAAGAACCATCACAAAAGGGAGATGGAGATGGGTTCAGGAGAAGTCATTTTAAACCTGCAAATTCAATTACTTGTAAATTGAGTGTATGCCTGGGCAAAGGGGGCCACAAAGCACACAGACTTTCAAATGAAAAAACAATGGACCAAAGGAACATCTGCAATCTGCTCAATGCGAAAGTGTCATAGAGATGATGGAGCTACAATGGTATGACCTCAAATAGTCAAATGAAAACCCGAGGAAAAGAATAACCAGGCTACAGCAACAGTTGGGGGACCTGCAACCAACTTGGTTTGAGCTCCCACAAAAGAGAGAGCCCCATCAACACTATGCTGAGCAAATAACTGGTGAGGAAGGAGGAAATCAGTTTAACTATGTGAGTATATGTCTGTAAATCTTAACTAGCACATGCATGTACAGCTGAAAATGATATTCATAATCGTCAGCATGGCTGTTCAGTCCGTCCTACTGATTTTCTGCATGTCTGTATGCAATAGCTATGTTCTCACATAGACTATGTCACCTGCTCTTGCTCCCAGCTTTGTTTTATCTCCTTTTCTAAATTAGTTAAACCCTGTGTCCCCTGGGAAGAAGGAAATAGGTCTCAAAATTGATACACTAATAAGGGTTATTGCGGGAAAAGGGACATATGTCTACACTGTAATTAGACACCTGTGGCCAGCCTGTGTCAGCTCACTCGGGCTAGGGAGCTTGGGCTAAGGGGCTGTTTAATTGCACTGCACACGTTCGCTCTGGGACCCTCCCACCTCACAGGGTCCTGGAGCCTCCAGCCCCAGCCAGAAAGTCTACACTGCAATTAAACAGCCCCTTAGCCTGAGCCTCATAAGCCCAAGTCAGCTGGCATGGGCCAGCCATGAGTTTTTAATTGCAGTGTAGACGTACCCCCAGTTGCGAAATATTCCTCAGGAATTGTCTCACCTAGGAGAATCCACATCAGTAGTAACTGTGAGACAACATGAGGTCCAAATAGGAGCCAACTAATCATTGTGCAGTTACAAGATGAGAAAGAACCAGAGCAATGTAGCTGTTAAAAGCAGTGGAGACAGTAAGTGTACAAAGTGCAGGTCTTATTTATGTAAAATAGAAAAAAGGCCCATAACTTACCATTAAGTGGGCATTAGGGTTTATAAAGTAGTCACTGAACATTTCATTGATATTCATAATCAGTTGTATGCCATTTACATGCAACTTGGCCATAACCTGGAAAAACTCTGGGTCAGTGTCTCATGAGTACACTGTATCATTATAGTTTTCAAAAGAATTTATATAGGCCTAAGTGCTGGACAGTTCAGACTTTTTCAGTACATGTTGGGCTTCTCTTAGTAGTTAGGGATTGATGTAGGAAGGTAATAATCTGTTGTTGGCTTCAATATATTCCATCCTATTCATCACCTCCTAGCCTCCTCCTATTTGCTGCATTAAGTGCAATGCCCAACATGCTAACTATTGTTCTTTACCGGCAAAATGCATCTTCCACTTCCAGACCTGAGGACGAGCTCTGTGTGGGCTGGGAAGCGTGTCTCTCCCACCAACAGAAGTTGGTCCAATAAAGATATTCCCTCCCCCACCTTGTCTCTCTTCCACTTTAGATTGACAGTGTGGAGCAATGGCAGTGTGCATCTCCACAGGCAGTTCAGAACCTTTTTGAGTGTGAGCTCTTTTAAAAACATGCTTCTGTATACAGTGTCTACAGTATTTCCCTTGCGTGAACAACTCTGTTGTGCCACATTGACTGACTGTGATATTTTTCCATATTTCAGCTCCAAATGAAAATACTCGGATTTGATTCTTTTCCCGCTAGCAGCTAAAGAGTTTGAATGGCTGTTTCTGGGGTGGGACAAGAAATCCTTCAGAGCAGAAATAGTGACAAGTGGCACACACATCATTCATCATAAGCTCCAGCAGTACCATCTGATGTTTTGCAGTATGATAATTCTTCTCTTCATCAGTCTGCCCTCCAACCCAAGTGAGCTAGCACTGTAACTCAGAGAACACCGATTGCTCAGACTTGGACTAGAATAGGCCTGTCAGACATCCACCTCTCTGAAAGTGACAGTTCTGTCAGACAGTTCTGAGGTGTCAGACAATTCTGCTGTGTTACTGGTAGATGAACCCCAAGATAGCAGTGATCTTTATCAAGCGGAGCTAGATATTGCTGCTACAGCTGAGCAAAAGCAGTCAGATCCCGCAGAGACTGAAAAAGCTTCATTCGCCAGCCCAGAGCAGAACACACAAGTTGGAGCACATACAAGTTATCCCAAGGCAATATGCTATACTGATCACCCATGTCTTGAATAGCGCTTATATAGAGAAGTCATAAAAAAGAACAGGGAATGGCAAAAAAGTATGGAGTCAGAGGATGATGAGGAAAACCGCAATGAGGAGGATGAGGAAGCGGGGAAGACTGACCGAACTTGTCTTTTAGAAGACATGACACAGAGCAGTGGTCGCAAACCACACACCACCATAAAAGACATTGTTAAGATAGAAAAGGAGCAGTTAAAATTGTGTCAAGTCCCTGAGAAGAGAATTGCCAAAAGTTAGAGAACTTATTTAAAAAATAAATAGAGACAGATGCCTGAATAGCCATGTGTAAGGAGCAGCATATAGAATGCTGTGTTTAGTTTTTTTAAAACTCTCCATTACTCCTGAGAGAGATGCTAACTTCCCTAATGAAACCTCCCAGCTGTGTATGTTGTGAAGACTGTAGGAGAAAACTTTGCTGCAATCACAGGATCAAAAACATATTCAGGATTCTGCACCTTTAGGCTATGGTAAGCATGAACCTGACCATACTT